AAAGCACATCAAATAAATAAAAAAAGGCAATTGGTTAGATCGACAAAGTCTCCCCCGCCATTTTTTATCTACATGCCTCTAAATTCACAAGTAAAAATCTCTGAAAGGAAGACATTAAAAGTCCAATTTGCTCAAGGATTATTCCGTATTACGAATAAATCTTCATGCACTTCCAATCTAACTATCGGTATCTCATTTATAATTTTTTTTTATGCAAAGACAACTGGTTTGATTCTCAGCTTGGCATCAAACCAGATTATAATATCTGAAGCTTTAGTTTATAAACTCGAATATGCATTCTTTAGTACGTTTCGTGTGGTTTTCTAGGTGTAGTTTTTGTTTCATGACTTTGGGTTATTAAATTTGAACAATTTGAGATTGTTGAGATAATTGTTAAGTTATACGTAACAGAATTAAAGTTATAATAGGTGTGAATTCTTGTATTCCTTAGTTGAAAACCAAAAAATTCCCTAAAGTTTTGTGGTAAATAAACCTTGAATTTCGGAAGAAACATTCTTTTTCCTACTTGTGGGTTGTCGCGCTTTACTTTTGATTAAGAAAAAAAAGCTTCATTGGCATTGCTTTAGTGCTAGGAACATGCATTATTCTACTGAAAAATTACGCTCCTTGTCGCTTGGCCCAACAGTCCATCAAAAAGTGACCCACAATTGAAGTCCTTACCAGATATAGCCCAGGTTGTATATAACCTGAACTTTTTTTTCACCAGTTAGCCCACCCTATTTTTTTCTTTTCTTCGTTTTCTTCTTCTTCCTCTTTCACGACTTTGCACCCCAAAGTTTCTCTACCATTATATATATTCTTCAATTCTCCTTCCATATTCAAAGTTGATAATCACTATTAAGATGAGAAGAAAAAATACCACTTAAGAGAATTACTATTTTGGAGTCACCATTAAAGGTCATTCGAAGCTTCAATTTCAAAATTGGATTTTTCGATTTTGTTAGTTGTTTGGATTGGGTGTTGGCCCAATTGATTGGGATCGTCAAGGGGAGTTCAAAACTCAAATTTGAAGTGATTTGGAGCAGATTTGAGGTAGATTTGAGTTGAATTCCAGAAGATGCCAAAAGAAGAAGAAGAACCAGTGAAGCTCCATTAATATGATTCATTTGTATAATAGTGTATAATATTGTATAAGTAACATATAATAGTGTATAAACATCTCTTATACATTATTTTATACAAGGCTGATACATTTCTTATTCCTCCTCCTCCTCTTCATTTTTATATACGTTTATACAACTATATATATAATATATATATACCTCTTTGTATAAAGTGTATAAAAGTGTATAAAGATTTCTGACGAATTTTTTGTACGATTTTCACTTGCAATTTTTGATATTTGGATCCTGTAAATAATGTATCAGCCTTGTATAAGTGAATCTGTTTCTCTTTGCAAAGTATACTTGATGTAGTTGTGCAGAATGCAGATCAGTACTGTGGATTTTCTCAATTGTATTTGATGTAGTTGTCTTAATTCATTTTTGTTGTTTGAGCTGTTTTCTGACTTCTGACCATAATGTGTAATGTCCTTTTATCTTATAGGTTAAAATCTGATGCGAGAAACCGCTCTCTACAATAATTATTGCTATTCTATTCAGGAGTGCTTTGACACTGAATGAGCATATTGCTTCCATATGGATGAGCATCTAGACTTTAATGCAATATTATTGGATTAATGCAAATCTTAGTATAAGTTGGACGACCTTATTTGGACAGGGTATCCCTTTTAAGTTTGGATCGTATTTCTAGCAGTGAAGGAAGACAGTGTTAAATTTTTTTTGCCTTGGAGAAAGAAAAGACATATTAAGGATGAGGCAATGACCTTTATATCTTAGCTAAGAATGGAGATTTCAATAGGTGAAGAAGGTAAGCTGAGAAAGCTATCAGGATGTTCATAAACTCCATTAAATATTTTTGACCTGTGTATGGAAGGGTTTGTTGAATCCGCCCTTTTCCTCCCCACACACCCAGATTGTATCGTGCAGGATGCTTTGGAGTTCTGAAAAGTTTTATCGGAAGGCATCTCTAAGTAGGCTAAAAAAATTCAGATCTAAGCTTATTGATATTTGGCTACACATTTGCAAACTTGTAAGTGGGCTAAAATAATGCAAGGTCAACTTATGGAGCGCATTATTATGTAATTTTGTCTTATTCTTCTACTTAATTAGGTCTTGAATTTTTTTTTTTGTCGATTGCCATATGCATTCAGGTACATCACATATACAATGTAAGCAAAACTTCATGCTTTGTGTTAGTTTGATGATAGCTAATTCAATGTGTTGCATTCGCTGGTTGTTTAAATTGGTTGACGGTGATCTACATATTGAATTTAAAGATGATGAAGTTATTGTTAAACTAGAAAATTTAATATCTCACGATATGACGATCAATTCCCAGTTAAAGCAACAAGATGAATTTTGAGAAATTTAAGACGAGAGATAATTGTGAATTGACTTCTTGAAAAAGAAAACCAGGTGCCTGTGTGAAAAGAGTCATCACAACTATACACAAAAAAGAACCATCATAGAGAGAGTCCAGTGTCCGATCATGTGTCACATGTTGTAAATTATTTCTTTTTTTTATTTCTCACCCGGTATCCGGTATCCACATTGGGGCCCGACTAATCCGGATTCGCGCCAGATAGGGCCCATTCGGAAGGTAGCGCTCCCTACCAAGGATTTTTCCATACCCAGAACTCGAACTCGAGACCTCTGGCTAAGAGAGGAGCAGCCCCATCCACTACACTAGATCCTTTACCGAGGGTAAATTATTTCATTCAATATTGTAAGAAGGAATATTGCACTTGGTAATTTGAACAATGAGGAAGCGTCTATGTTTTATCATTTTCTCAGCGATAACATGTTTCAAAAATCATTTTAGAATATTTGATTGGAATTAGAATTTTTGTGGGAGCATAATGCTTGCTCATATTATTATGAAATAAACTAATTAACTTGGCGTACATAATGTGGTTATTGTATCATTAATATCAGTGTTGACATCTTAATGGCCAAGCTACTTTCAAAATTAAGGGAATCCACCCCCCCCCCCCTCCCCACCCCACCCCTCCCCCCAAACATCCCCCAACCAAACATTTTCCAACAAAATATCCTCTTTTATATAGTAATTCTTTTAACTATTATACTTCTTTTAGTTTTTTTTTTATCTTTAATAACTAAAATATTAGATAATATTTTAAAAACTTTTATTCGTTTAGTTAGGGTACACGAGCAACGCGCGTACTCTAAAGCTAGTATTGATAAATACAAGAGGGTAACAAGAATCCGCTTCATTGAAAATATTTAGGATACTATACGTTTTTATAAAATCTTACATATTATTATTACTGTTATAAAAAAAAAAAAAAAAGGTATACTGTTGATATATAAAAGTTAAGCTCCATGCACAAATCTTTTGCGGTGCTTGCTGGCTGGAGCTTCACTAATTCTTCATATAAAATTAGTTCGATTGTAATTCTATTATTATAACATGTTAAAGCATATGTTGATCTTTGACTTTCAACGTAATGCCCAAATCTATGCTGAAAATGATATTCAGCCAATAAGAAACGTAGTAAATAAAATATTTAATTAACTAAGGAAGCTTCCTAGCGTGAAAAAACTTAGGAATAAGTAAATACGTGGCATTACTGCCAAGAGGATAAAAGAGGGCTTGTTTTCACGTGTTTAGATATACAAGGAAGGATTCAATATTCAATATTTAGCTGATTTTAAAATGCTAAAACATTAGAAAAATGATAAAATGACTATTTTGTCTAGTGTGAACTTTATTTTAAAAGGGCAAAAACGACGAACGACATTTCGCTAAGGGTCTTCGTACTTTTAATGTAGTTATAGATATAGATTTTGAAGATTTTTTTTAAAAAAAAAATTTGTTGAAAATAAGTGTAATTTTGGAATGTTATTGGAATAAATAATTTTTCCGAAAGTATTTAAAATAAAACATTTTTAAAAATTTTGTAAAAAAAAAATTCAAATATCAGTTTCAAACAGAATGATTAAAAGAGACTTGGTAATAAGAAAAGTTTAAATCAGATCGGTAGAAATTAGAAAAAAAAGTCAAGGTGCTAAGCTGTCACAGTGTACGGATCTGTTTCACCTAACCAATACTTCAACCTTGGACAAGTTAGTCCTGAATAATATTCTAATATATAATTTATTCTCTTACACTTAAAAAGGAATTTTGATTGGTGGCCCATTGGCCTTTCAATTTTCCTACACTTCCTTGTCTTTTATATATATCTTATATTACGCGCGAATTTAAGTACTAATGTATATGTTATTACTCACACTGATAATTTAACTACAAAGGTTAGCTTCGCTATTTAATGTAAGATTGAGGTTTGCTAATATTATTTGGTAGTACTTTCAAGTAAGTAAATAACACCCCTCCCCTAAAAAAATAATGACACGGAAAATGTATGTAAGCAATTCTATTTATAAATGTATTGGGATTGAACAATCAACGAATAATTGATCAGCTACTATAAATTGAAGTTACAAAATTATTACTTATTTTCGGCTTCAACATTTCTATCCACAAAATAGAGTAAGCTAATTAAGCCACGTGGCCACTAAATTAATAACTATAAATTAAACAAAACAATCCAACAACAATAGAGTGAAAATATCACCAATTAGCTATGTTAATCATACCCTTTTTAACATAATGTACTCCTTATTTAATTAGAGTAACAAAAGGTCTCTATAACTACGATATATTACTTTGGAGCTTATTTGAATTAATCATCTAAAAACTAGAAGATGTTGAAATAACAAAAGTAGAAATTTTCAAAGTATTTTATGTAGCCATAGAACAAGTCAAATTATATAGAAGACAAAAAGCTAGAAATAACGCGGTATAATATTGGCAGCCAATAGTGACCCACTAGCCTCAAAATTACGTGTTTCAGTGCCTATAAATAAATTCATTGCCACATTCCCTCTTCTATCATCTTCACAGCTTCCAATCACAAAGCTAATTTATAAGTTTCTATTCTTAGTTCTTGACATCATATCACCAATACATTGCAATATTTTCAAAATGATAAGTATTTCTAACAACTCTTTTGCAGCCATTAATGCTGCTATGTTTTCTCTTCTCTTTATATTCTCTAGCATGCAATGCCATGCACAACTTTCTTCCACATTCTATGATCGCACTTGCCCTAATGCTCTCAACACCATTCGTACAAGTGTTAGACAAGCAGTGTCACGTGAACGTCGTATGGCTGCATCTCTCATTCGCCTTCATTTCCATGATTGCTTTGTTCAGGTTGGTTAAATACACATTAATTAGTATATTTGTAGCTCTATTTACTTCAAGTTGAAATTATAAACTTGATTACAAATGTACTAACTTGTGGTTTTAACTATAGGGTTGTGATGCTTCTATCTTACTTGATGAAACTCCTACTATTGTTAGTGAGAAGACTGCCTTGCCAAATCTTGGGTCAGTTAGAGGCTATGGTATTATAGAAGATGCAAAACAAGAGCTTGAAAAAACATGTCCAGGAATTGTATCATGTGCAGACATACTTGCAGTTGCCGCTAGAGATGCATCAACTCTTGTAAGTATTCGTAGTTTGAATTTCATTTTCTTCACACTATAAAAGAAGAAAAAAAATTATGCTATATTGAAAGTATTGTCAAACGAAAAAAAAAAAACAGTCCGGTGTACTAAGCTCCCACTATGCGTAGGGTCCAGGGAAGGGCCGGACCACAGGGGTCTATTGTATGTAACCATACCCTGCATTTCTGCAAGAGACTGTGAAACTAACCAGCATTGTCTTAATAACTTGGAATTAGGTTGGAGGTCCATCATGGGCAGTGAAACTCGGAAGAAGAGATTCAACAACTGCAAGTCATACACTTGCAGAAACTGATCTTCCTGGTCCATTTGATCCTCTTAATAGGCTTATTTCTAGTTTTGCGAGCAAAGGCCTTAGCACAAGGGATATGGTTGCTTTATCAGGTAAAAGTTGATCAAGTTATTATATATTGAACATATATAAAATATTTATCATATACTTGTACAGATAATTAAGAAGAAGTTCTAAAGATTTAAACTTTCTAATTGTAGGAGCACATTCAATAGGCCAAGCACAATGTTTCCTTTTTCGCGATAGGATTTATGGCAATGGAACAGACATTGATGCTGGATTTGCTAGCACAAGAAGACGTCAATGTCCTAAAGAAGACCAAAATGGAAACCTAGCTCCACTTGATTTGGTTACACCTAATCAATTGGATAACAATTATTTCAAGAACTTGAGGCAAAGAAAAGGTCTTCTTCAATCAGATCAAGTCCTTCTTAGTGGTGGATCTACTGATGATATTGTTTCTGAATATAGTAACAGTCCTCGCGCATTTGCCTCTGATTTTGCTGCTGCTATGATTAGAATGGGAGATATTAGTCCCCTAACTGGTCAAAATGGGATCATAAGAACTGTCTGCGGCTCCCTAAATTGATCATTCAAAAGCCTATTACATGTATTTTGTATTCATTTGATTCTTTGATTCTCTATGTAATGTTTCAAGAATGAAATAAAATGTTTGTTATGGTTTAAGGAAGTTTAAGAGTTCTAACACAATGTTTCACATGTGAAATTAAATATTTTATTTAGTACGTATCTAATCTTAGTGGCTGAATGTCATTTTCAACATATATTTAGGCATTACGTGGAATATCAAAGATCAACAGGCTTTAACATTGTAATAGTAATAGTAATAGAATTAAAATCAAACTTTTATAAGATGAACTAGTGAAGCTCCAGCCAGCAAGCACCGTAGAATATTAAACATGGAGCTTAACTTTTATATATCGATAGCATAAATTTATTTTATAAAAGTAATTAATAATGTATATGTACTGAACATAACCTATATAATTCGTAATAATTTTTAACAAAGCGGATTCACGTGAACCTCTTGACCTCACATGAATTTGCTCCTGATAATGATATTGGCGCTACAACAAGGCACTTTGATTCACTACGTTTAGATATGGAGGATTGGCATAATTTATTTCTTAAGATAATTATAAGTTTGAAACAAAATTACTATGTTCAGTCGAACACCTATCTTTAAGGCTAGTACGCTGTTACGTAGGATGAGGTGAGGCAAGACGGGGCAGATTAGTTTTTTTTTTTTTTGTAAAATATGACCTCACTCACATTGTCATGCCTCGCTCCCCCCTTGCCGCAGGGTGGGGTTAGCCTCGCCCCGGCTTACGCGGGAGGAGGTTAGTCACTATTGCGTCCTATATCGCGTTGTTGCCAAAGTTGACATACAAGAGTGTAGGGCTGTCAATGGTTCATTTTTATTCATCACCAGACAAAACGTATACATCAACTGCAATTTAATAACAAAAAATAACAGCACCTGTACAACATCTCCTATAAACTAAAACTCTATAGCTTATTTACATTTGCCTAATTGTGTTCTTGTTATTGAAATTCCTCAGCCATATCCTATCATCATCCTTCTTCCTTCAATCCAGGCAATTTCTCATCTGATGTATGCATTCTTCTTTCACTTGTTTGCATCAGCTCTGTGGCCTTGGGACTTTGCTTTTCCACAGTGCTTCATTCCTTCTCTTCCATATATCATATATCAATGCAGATATAATGGCAACAACAAAGTTTTTTCTTAGTCGCCCTTTTACATTTCTTGTATTCTTTTCCAAAGACCTTCCAATTCCATGTTCTGCACTCCTATCCCCAGCCATTTTAGTGTCTCACTAATGCAAACTTTGGAGAAGTGACATCAAAAAACAAGTGTGATATGGTCTCTATAGCTTGACCACCTATCACGCACAAGCTGTCTTGACTTATTCCTATTCGTGCAAGCCTGTCCTTTGTTTGTAGTCTTCCATGCATGGTTAGCCAGCATATAAACCTAGTATATTTAAGTTGTTCCACATCCAAGCTCAATGTTGCCATGATGCCTGACTTCCCCTTAGCCATTCATATCCACTTCTGATCGTGTATTTTCCACCTTGAGAGATCCAATGGTTATTCACATACCCACTTGCCATTTTATCTTTGATATGGCATATCTTCTTTCAATACCAACTGTTGTCCTGAGGTGCTTTATAGTCCCACCAAGATTCTCCTTTTATGTACAGGTGATTAACCCACTTTACCCATAGGTTATCTGCTTTCTGGGCAATATTTCATACATATTTTCCTATTGCAGCATCTCCAGTTCACACATTCTGTAACTCCTAGCCCTCCTTCCTTTTATGGTCTACACACCAAATCCCAGGCTATCTGTGGTACCCTGTTCGTGTTCACCTTCCCATCCTAGAGATAATTCCTACATATAGTAGTTATCCTTTTCAAGACCGCTCTAGGTAGTATGAAGATAGATGTCCAATACACATGTGTGTGCATTAATACTGAGTTTATCAGCTGCACTCTACCAGTATAGGAAAGTGTTTTTGATCCCCAACCTCTGATTTTAGCAGTCATTTATCTACCAACATTTCACAATCTACAGCAAATGTCTTCCTTGATGTAATAGGGACTCCGAGGTACCTGAATGGGACCTTGCCTTTTCGGTAGCCAATAATCTCACATAAGTCTTCCAAGTGTTTCACATTCATGTTGACACTAAAGATGTTTGATTTCCCTGCATTGGTAGTTAGTCCTGATGCTTTTGAAAAAAATTTTAATCCTCTAAGCACTAACATGAGTGAGTGGTATGATGCTTCTAAAAAAGTCTTTAATCCTCTAAGCATTAACATGACCGAGTGATAATCTCCTTTGCAAAATAGAAGAACATCATCTGCAAAACAGAGATGGTTCAGCTTGATGCTTTGACATTTTGTGTGGAACTCAAATACCTCTTGTTGTGTCACTAGCTTCAATATTCTTGTTAGATACTCCATGCATATGACAAACAGTAAATGTGATACAGGGTCCCCTTGTCGAAGTTCCCTTTTCCCTATAATCTTCCCATATAATCCTCCACTGATTGCAACTGTATATTCGGGAGTCGATATGCAGGCCATGATCTATTTGATGAACCTTGCTGGGAAGTTCAAAGCATGCAACATTTCCTCCACAAATGCCCATTCCACAGAGTCGTATGCTTTTTGAAGATCAATTTTTATTAGGCAGCTCTTTGTCGTATTCTTTCTGTTGTACAGCCTCACTAGGTCCTGGCAAATTAGTATATTTTGTACAATAGTTCTACCTGCTACAAATGCACTTTGATTCTCCAAGATTATACAAGACATTATTTGTTTGAGCGTGTTACACAGCATTTCTAATATCACTTTGTATACTGTGTTGCAGCAAGCAATTGGACCATAGTCTTCCACTTTATATGCATGCTTTGTGTTTGGAATGACTGTTATCACTGTGCTATTCAGTGCTTTCAACATCTTCCCTGAAGCAAAGAATTCTAATACACCCTTTGTTAGATCCTTCCCTACAGTGCTCCAACAATCTTTGAAGAAGTTGCTCCTATATCCATCTGGCCCTGGTGCCTTTTCTCCATTAATGTCCCATAGTGCTTGTTTTACCTCTACACTTGTGAAATTAGCTTCAAGCATTACCCTCTGTTCTTCATTAATAGTAGGTCCTGCTCTAACTAGGCTGCTGAAAACATGTTTTCTCTTGTCTTTTTTCGTTCCCAGCAATTCTGTATAGAACTCTACAAATGCCCTTGCAATTCCATCAATATTATTTATCGTTTGACCCCCATCTTCCCTTATAAAGAATATCCTATTTTCATTCCTTCTTGCTTTCATGAAGCTGTGAAACATCTTTGTGTTTTGGCCTCCTTGAGTCAACCATTGCACCTTTGTCTTCTGTCTAATGTATAATTCACTTGCTACCTTCAGTCTGCTATAGGTCTTTGACAACTCCTGCTCCTCCCCTATGAGTGTTTCGTTCATAGGATCAAGTTGAACCTTTTTCTAGCAAGCCAATAGTTGTTCTTTAGCTTGTTTTGCACTAAGTACTACTTCATTAAATGAAGCCCGGTTTAGCCCTTTTAGAACTCTCTTTGGCCTATTTAATTTCGCCACTAGTTGGTACATCTTTGTCCCTGTACACCTTACCTCCCCGATTCTCTTGACTTTGTCTTGAAAATCTGGTGTTGTTTTCCACATGTTGAAGTATTTGAATGGTCTGCTTGTGCTTGTGATCCCCTCCTACCAATGTACCACTGCGGGACAGTGGTCATACAAGCCTTCACTCATGAAGTTTACTTCTGAGGTTGGTAAATATGTGATCCATTCCGTATTGACCATTACCCTGTCTATCCTACTTATACTATGTCTTTCCAAGTGTAGAAAGCCCTAGTGGACCTCAACTCTTGAAGACCACAGGCTTCTATAAATTGCCTGAAATCTTTCATTTCTGCCATTGTAACAGGGCTACCCACTCTTTCCTCTCTATTCAAGACACTATTAAAATCACCCATGACTGCCCATGGGCCTTGCATATGGGTGCATAGGTCCTCTAGGTCCGTCCATAATCCCCTTCTCAATGCCATGTCATTGTAAGCATATACTATTATGAGACAATATTGCTTACTCGTTCCTCTGTGTTTGACTATACAATGTATACATTGATCTAATGATCTCTCTATACTAACTTCATACATATTTGGCTTCCACACCACCCAAATCCTACCTCCATTATCTTGTGCTAGGTTTGATGTAAACGACCACCTATTACAAAGATTTAGAGTAGCTTTGTGTCTTTAGCTCTCTTAATCTTTGTCTCCAGGAGTCCAAATAGGCCTACCCTGCATTTGTGCATAAACAGATTGACTTCCCTCTATTTATCCATCCTATTTAGACCCCTGACATTCCAAAAACCTATCTTATCCATTAGGATGGGGCCTTTCCCTACCACTACCACTACCAAGTTTGGTTCCTGTATCCCCTAGGCCCTCCTTGGGGTTAGAGCCACTAGGTTTGGATCTCTCTGCTTCATTTTCTTGATTCTATCCCAATGCTTCAAATGTGTTCTTAGTACTGATCATTATTGTTTTATTAATATCTCCATTTCTAGGTCCCTTCCTGCCTTTATCACCCTTATTTCTCTTGTTTCCTATATGTTATTCCCCAATTCTATTCTCTTCTTCTGCTGTCCTTGTGATACTGGTTTCTGTACTGCCTTAGTTATTTGTTGCACCTCCTGTACTTGCTTACCTTTTTTAGCTAACTCCTCTTTCTGAAGTTTTCTGCAGTCCTGTAATTAATGTCCAATGTTTTTGAATTTTGGGCACAATATGGGCTTCCATTCATACTCAACATCTTGTTCTATGATTTTGCCCCATTAATTTTCAAATAGAACAGATTTCGGATACTTCTGATAGAGTGAGACTTCTACTAGTACTCGTGCAAAAGCTAGTTTCTTCTTGTTGGTTGTTACCCTATCTGCTTTGAGAGGTTTAGCAATCATTCCTGCAATTTTTGTCAATGCTGATTTCCACCAATATTTGATGTCCGGTCCTCTTAGTCGAATCCACACAGGGATCTTATCCACTTTCTCCTTGCTTACATCTATGTCTGGTTTCCATGATTTTACAACCACTGCTTTTTATCGAAC